GAAGAAAGTTGAGAAGACATTTGAGAAGCTAATAAGTAAAGAAAATGCTAATTATTATTGAAGAAAAATCTGATTGAGGTCTTTTAAGGTCAACTAGTTTTCCAGGTAATATGAATTATCTGGCTAAAGATCTCAAGATGAACCTGAAGAGATAGGAGGTTCACTGTCTCCAGACTTATTTCTACGGTATCACATTTCGACAATCAGGAAAAAACCGGAGGACAAAGCCGATTCCAAGGCTTTTCCACTATTGAATTGATATAAAAAGTTGTTTTATCGAGCTCCCGAGGTCTTTTCTATTTGCTCTCGGAGCTCTCAATCTGTTTATACTTTTCCCCCCGTTTCCCACTAACTCTGACTCTTCACACGTCTGGCTCACCGGCCGGAAATTGTAGTAGGAAATTAAAATATGAAAACGAAGTCGAAAACCTGTCACATGAAAGAAAGCTAAAATGAGGAAGTTTTGGATAGAACAAGAACACTAGGAATCGATTTGGGTAATTTATAAAATATGCATTCAAACGACCCTCCCAAAGTGGTTTTGAGGCAAAGCAAAGCGGTATAAACACGAAGAACAGCATCAAAACCGAAGCAAAAAGTGGTACTTGGCAGTCAGGACGAAACCGCAATGTTGGAGAGACAGACCTTTTGAGAGACGGAGACGCATTCAAATTACTGTATATGAAGGTCACCTTAGCACTGGTAGTCGGAGGGATGTAGGTGGGAAGAAGAGGACAATTAAGGAATAGAAAAAGGCAGGAAGGCCAAGATGTTGATGAATCAATGTGCGATGAATACAGCTTTATTAGTTTTGGGTTTAGGAAAAACTAATAAGAATAAGGACAAGACTGGTAAGAAAAATTTCTGATAGAAAAATACCGTAAACAATACAAAAGAGTGCCACCCAAACCTTTACCTTCGAGCTCTAATATCTCATTTCTAATGGAAGATATTTAAAAAACGGTCAACAGACAAAATTTTTATCTTGATAAGAAAACATTTTGCCAGTTAACCACTTTTTGATATCTTTCACAGGGACCAAAATAAATTGGCTAAAAATATTGGTTTGACAAAAAAAAGTGAAAAAAAAATTCTGAAAATTCAACTTTTTCGAATTCGGAAAACCCGGGCCCATATTTTTCCAGTATGCCTATTACCAACGAAAAATGAGAAGAGATAGGGAATTTTTTACGGAATAAAAGAAGAAATCCCAGGAATTACGGAAAGGAAAAACGCTCTGAAATAATTGAAACCATATAGATATTGCTGGATATATTTTGACGCCAACCAAATGAGATTTCCTAAGAGAGCCCTTTGGTTTTCTGGGTGACAACTCTCTCCTTCTCTCTCGTTTTGTGCTTCCCCTTGGGGTCACCTAAAAATGGAAATTTGCCAAAGCTCTAGTCACCTCTTTCGTGTTATTTCGTTTCTTTTTTGACACCCCTGCTCATTAAATTTTCATGAAAATTCAAAACGCGAGCGCCGTGTACCTTTTGGCAAGAAGAGGAATTCTGATAGAATGTTTATAGAAAAGTTATCAAATATCAACTATTTGGAAACTCAATCTGTATTTTCAGCATTTGTTTTTTTTTCTAACGTCAGCTGACGTTGAAGCCAATAATAAGAATATGGAATAACAGAATAGAAAGTTCCGGAAGTAACATATGAGGAACGACACCTTAAGAAGAAGTGTGATTTCCATGGAATTATGAGGATATGTGGCGTCGAAATGCGCACTCCAATCAAAAGTTAGGATCTTCTCGAAACGCTTTTCCCATTCACAACATAGACAATAAATCTCCATTGTTTCGTGTAAAGACAAGACGATAATTCATACAAACAAAAGCGCCCGCAGAAGATGAAAAAGTCGCGAAAGTGACAGAAATGAGTGTCGAGAAGATTATTCTGGAGGTATCTAACGATGATTGGCGTGAAATTTCTTATGATGGAATGCGTATTCTGGAAGATTTGAGAGATAGAATCAGAATTTTTAAGGAATCACCAGGAAAAATATGTTCGGTTTTTGGGATAACAGAGTGGAAGCACAAGATGAGCAGACATGGAGCAAAGCTTTTAGACTAGATTCTCTGAAAACGATTTCACTCTCAAAAATAATATTATGAAAGAATCGAATCACTTTTTCAAACTTTCTGGACCTTTCTCTTCCACTACGACATCCATCACACCATCTGAACTTTTTCAGCGTGAGTGGATTGAAAAGGTGGAATAATTGAAACAGTCAATGTATGTAGAAAGCCGACAGTTGAGAGAGATAGAGAGTCTGAGGGCGACAATTATTGAGAAGAGAAACCAGTTGGTTGACTGACTGGCGGCGGGAAGGCGACATACAAAAAAATGAATGGATGCGGGGAGGAAGCGACGACGATGACGATGTCAACTGAGGAGGACGGTCGAAGTGCACTCGGGGGAATTCTAAAGAGTTGACAGAGCGGTTGGGAGACAGTAGAAAAAGTTCATTGAAGATATACCGTATTTTCTATAATTATACCCTAGCCGTCAACTTTAAGCTCAATTATCTCGATTCCTGGGGAAGATAACAAAAATCTGTCGACTGATGAAATAATCATTATATTATGAGAAATAATTTATCAGTTGACATACTTTTGATATCTTTCACAGGAATCGAGATAATTTAGCTCAAAGTTGACGTGGACTTCTACGAGAGAAAATAGGAGTGATCAGTCGCAATCCCAGAACTTCGATGAAAATTATCTTATTGGTTTGGCCATATTTTTCAGCCAAACAAAATAAAATATGGCTTTCAAGATTACCATATGCGAGCTATTGTAAAGCAGCTGGGCGAGATTGTGCACTCATGTATTCATAATCAATCATGCCTATAAAGAAGCCTCCCATTGTTTTTTTTTTCGCTAAACAATATGCCAGTAGGTCGACTGTGAGAGGATTCCTTCGTTGCTAATGCTTACTTGGTTTCAAACAATTATTTCAGGGAGCTTCAAGTTCTTCTCCCTGAAAGCCGTCGTAGCTGGAAAAGAAAATCAAGAACCATCCAATCAATTCTGACTGCATGGAAGGTTCAGTGTCCTCGAAAAGCCAATTCATCTTAAAATTGTCCAGTCTCGTGTCTTCTTCTTCGAGAGCATCTTCCACAGCTCCATCTCCTTCTACTTTTCACTTTCTCTTTTTTTTCTCATAAAACAAGTCACCAGAGACTGCTCATAAATCCTGCGGTATGACGTGGAATCCTTCAGATTGAAAAAAGTAAAACGAAGAAGAATAAGAGAAGAGCAGTAAAAGAAAACAAAAAGGAACATCTTTCACAGGATTGCCGTGTGGTTTAGAAATCTTCGAGACAGCTTTGCGGGGTGAAAAAGTGTGCCGGATGTGTTTTATAAACTTTCTTCGTTTTTCGTTTTTCCGACGCCATTTGGTTTCGTCGTCGACGCACGGAAATGAAGAAGAAGAGTGCGGAATCGCATCGTAAAATCGGTGTGTGGAATTAGAAGCACATGTTGCAAAAAAAAGTTTTAAGAAGCGAGGATCAGAAAAAAAATGGAATCAGAACTTGAAAGTTCCAGTTGAAAAGGGAAATGCGAAAACGGGAAAAGGTAGTGGTCATACACGGCGAGAGGGGACCACTTATTATTTGCCCCTGTTTGACCCCCTCTTTGCTTCTATGTGCCACCCACCTGGACATAAAAGGAAGAGCTCGAAATAGTATGGAAATGAGAGATGCTCAGAATGTTAGAAAAAGAGGTGTTTGAAGGAGGATATGTGCCGATTTGGGGGTAGTGGGGTGACACACCTTTTGGCGGATGAGGAGAGACGCGAATTTCGGGAAATTATGGGGTGTAGAAAACTGGTGGAAAAAAGAACTAGAAAGCAAGAAAAAAGAGAGGAATTTCGAAAATGGTAGTTGATTAAAAAAAATAATGGAAGGAACTGTTTATGATACACAATTACCCAAGGCTGACAAAAACGGGTATATCTTCAGACATCAGCAGATTAGAAGAACAAAAATTGATAGAAATATAATTTTAGGTTTCATTCGAAGCTACTGAAATTTTCAAAGCAATTCCTCAACTCTGGGTATTGTTATGATTGTCCAGAGATTAAATGTTTCTTGCACGCCGCTTTGAATTTTTAAGAGAGTAAACAACTTTGACAAGCGATAACTCATCTCAAAACTGATCAAATAAATTAAAAATTGACCAATTTACTGATGAGTTAATTCAATTTTTGGACTCCAAGTTTGAGCCCAGTACAAGGCTTCACTGAAATGTTATGTTCTGTAGTACAAACTTGAGTCTGGACCTAAAAAACTTTTTTCATACCTAAAAAAGTATTTTTCATATCTAGTAAAAGCTAATGAAGTTGAGAACACAAAAAATGATTTCCTGGTTTTTGTGTTTTTTTTAAAGTTAAAAGTGGTAATCTGTCGAAATTTTTTGGGAAGATATTAGATTCCGAAAGTCAGTCACACTCTGAGAAAGGATATAAAAACCTAGAGAAAATCAAAGTTCGTTTTATGGAAGAGTTGAAAATAGAACAAATTAGTGATGAGTTTCAGTAGGAAATTGGCGCCTAAATAAAGTGCCAGCTTCTTTTTGGAAGCCAACCCCTAATACAGTGCCACTACAGAGCACCTTCGAAGAATATAGTGGCTATCTAATGCAAAAGCCATGGCTGCAGCTATCCTGGCTAATAGAGTTTTTTAACATATTTAAAAGAAAGATAAATTAAAGAATTGTTCAAATTAATCTTGGAAACACTTGGGCCTGTAAGGAAATATCGGTGTCAAAATTATTTTCTTATTGAACGATGATATTCATTTTAAAATCTTTGTGTCTACAGTACCAAGTTTCCCAGAAACTCCTACATCCTTAACATCTATTTTCACCGAGATTCCCATCAACGATTCATCTTCAAGAATGAGAACCACTCCTTGTTTCCCATCAAAACGAAGAGAACTCTTTCCTTCTACCTGTATTCTTCAATTCCTTCATTTTTGTTCTTGAATGCTGAAAACTACCCACTCCATCAGACATATATCACTAATAAAATGTCTGTACAAAGCCCCAATATCCAGCAAACTCGAAGATTATGATGTTGTGATCAACCCCAATTCTCAACTTTTCAATAAGTTTATGGATGAGGTCTTCTTTTTATACATTTCTCATTGAATATTTATTTCAATTTCAGCATGGAGCCAAGCGATTCGACTTCAAAGCTGAAGACTATACAACCTGGAAAACTGCATGGGGAGAAGACTATAGACTGGGATTGTTTTTCTTAAAAGGTTGAAATATTCTTTGATAAAATCTTATTCCTTTTTTTCAGGTTCTGAAAATTTAGCCTTCTCATTTCATACGATCCACTACAAATCGCTAGGACTTCTCCCAGATTTTCGACATCTCGGAATCGCTTGGATACCAGAAAAGTATCGAGGAAAGGAGATTCTGAAAGTGGTTACTGACTACCTCATACAAGAAGAACAAATGAAAAAGCAGAATATGTTGGCATGTAATGTTCATTGGTCCCAAAACTTCTGGAAGAGAGCAACTGGAAAAAGTGATATTAGTGCATGCACATACTATATCTCGTATTACGAAATGTCAGATTTTAAAATTCCCAAAGTTTCAGAGATGAAAAAAGATGTTGTTGTCAAGGTGAGCCTTTCGAAAAAGAAATAAGGAATCATCGATCAATTACAGACTGTCAACACGGAAACAGTTCATGATGTTTTGAAATATGATAGAGCAATATTTCCATTCGATCGCCAAAATTGGATGAAATCACTTTTTCTAGAAGGAATCGGTCGTATTGCATATGATTCAGATGGAAAAGTAGTTGGGATTGGGTGTCTTTCGATTTATCCATCTGGAGAATGTGTAATTAGTCCTTTATACGCGGACGAGGAGAAGGTGGCACAGGAAATATTCAGAAGCATTCTTGAAGAGATTTTATTGAAGCGTAATGAGAAATTATGGAGAATGCAAGTTAGATCGAACGATCAGTGTGTTCAAAGTTTTCAGTGAGTGTGTCTTAAATGTATAATTTTAATTTCTAATACAGTAACCCGAAATTTTTTAAAATATTTTTTAACGAATTTTCCACTTTCAGATGGATCCAACCACTTTTGAAAACTCCAATCCGCCGGTCCCATTTATCGAATCTCTGCTACTCAATGTATCCACCAAGACACTTTTTCGATTTTTCAAAAGTTTTCGTCAATGCCCACCCAACAAATGGTCCATGTTAAATATGTCTGAACCCAAAAAGCTTCATTCACATTGTGATGATCAATCCCTTCTTTTTTTCTTCTTCTTCTTTTTGTTTACCTTTTCTTCATCCACTCAATTTTTACCACAACAACAATCGTCTGCGTCTAAACGTCCACGTGACTTGGAAAAATGATGAAAGCAGCTGGAGTAGTAGTGGACGCAAAGGAGACCCATATGACTGACAGTGATACAAAACTCGAGTTCATTTAATTTCGACAAATGATATGCTATTCTTATAATTAGATGATATGCTATTCTTATAATTAGCCTTGTTAAATTTCTTGTCTTGTATAATGAAGTTTAATTGAATCATGTTTAGAAAAATGAGCAATTACAATTGCTCCCCAGAATTAGGTAATTAATTACTCAAAAACAAATCATCCGGAGGATTCAGAAAACTGATGAATTGTGGTTCAAAAAGTGTTAGTACCGACTGACAGACACTGTCCGCGTCCCCTCTTTTTCAAACGCGCCCTGCCGCACTGGTCATTTGATTCTTTTTCTCTTTTTTCATCCGGAAAATAGCAAAAAAAACTCTTTTTTTTCTTCGATTCCGGAAAAATAAGACAGCGATTCGTTTTTATTTCTCTTTTTCGGGAAACATTCAGTTTATTGTTCGTTGCTCTTTCACAGCCACCGCCGATAGACTCGCTTTGTGTGTGATAACTTCATTATCTCTCGCACATGTTACTCTGCGTCTCTCTCTCTCTCTCAATTTCTTCGAAATTTCGAAAGCTTCTTCACAAAAAAAACGTTCCAATTTCAGAATTCTGAGTTTCAAGTTCTGAAAATAGGATGAGATGAGCGATGAGCCGGTTCAGTCTTGGAGGTAAGTTTGCAATACGAATTTCTAATGAAATAACACAACTTTTTGTCGGAATTAAAGGCTCAATCCGTCTCCACGATCTCCTAGAAGCATCGGACGATGAATACGGCTTCGTGCGCACTGAAGTAGAGCGAGCGTTGGATTGTCGAGATGCCACAGAAGAAGAGATTATGAGAGAGTCGCCAGTACCAGTGCGAATCAATTATAAGGTGAGTGAGAATGAAATGTGTTTTTTTCTGGAAATGTTTTTGTTAAATCGGTTTATTCGAAGAAACAGTATAAAAATTCTAGCTGTAAAACATCCAAAGGAAGGTGTTCAAAGCTATAGAGAAAATCTAAACGGATAAATAATTATAATTAAAAATTGAGCAAATTCTTAAGAAAAAAAAAGAGAGAGTATTACTCTTGTCAATGCACGAAATCAATGCACGTTGCGGCCGAGAAAACAACGGTGGGCGGAGCTTAGCTCCCACAGAGAGAAACTTACTGTATTTTTCAAATTATTGCACGCGCCTTTAATACAGTACCTCAACATTTATCGAATTTTCTCAAATTTCTCTCATTTTTTCGCTTGTTTCTGTCTAATTTTGTGTAATCCTTATAAATCTTTAATTTATTTTTCTTATAAAATAGAAAAAACAGCCAAATAGGGCCCAAAATAAAAAAACGTCCGAGGTACGGTATTTAAAGGCGCATGCATCAATTTGTTTTTCCGCTGTGCGACAGACGGTGCAATTTTGAGTAAATTTTCGGCCGCAACGTGCATTGATTTCGGACGAGAGTAATATATAAACTGACCGCCTGATTTAGGAAGAGAATGTTCTCAAACTCATAAATAATGACATCAATGTAGGTGATCTGATCAGTTAATCGGTACTAGAAGTCACCCTAACAAAAGATATTGAACGGCAGATAAACAGTCAACAGAAAGTAATGTCAACAATTTGGTGGTCGTTGACCATCGATCGATTTTTTGCTTTATTTTCGACTTGTTTTTTTTCGAAATATATTGTTACCCCACCACACAGTCTTCCTCCCCCTGTATTCTCTGATGCCATTTATTCTGGTGCACTACAAAATTTTAAAAATGGACGATTTTTCAATGCTGAAAAACGGTTATCGCGACTTTTGTGCTATCGGTGATATTTCCAGTGACGATTCAGACTCAGAGTTTGTGGTAAGCACACATGAAACAGGTTACAAACACCTGAAATGTATGCAAATTCCCTATCAGTGAACATTTATCAACTATTATATTTTTACCTCTTTTTTTCGAAAATATTCCATCCGTCCATCTGGCGATAACGGGTTATCATCTTCAGTATTTCACTCGATTATTTGTCAATCTGACTCACTTCTTGTTGGTTTTTTTTTCGCTGCTGCCCGGGGAAGCAAAAAAATCGAAGGAAGAAAACATACATTTTGCTCCCATTTAGTAATGTCTTCTACTTTTCAAAAAATAGTAAGAAAATTCAGTCGATCTGGAGAAAGTAGCAATGGATTAGCAGAATGTTTTGTGAGTTTCAGAACAGTTCCTCAAAAATTCAAAATTTTTGAAATTCAATTGCTCACCTTTTATGGTGCTCGTCGGTTTCGCTATTTTATGACAGTGCTCATACTTTTTTTCATTCAACCTTTAACTGTGTTCAAAGGCTGGTGTTCAAAGGTTAACTGTGTTCAAAGGCAGGAAAGTTTGTTCTTGGTAAGTGATGACGTCGTGAAGGTCCAAAGATGATGAGCAAATTAGAGATTAAAAATTACCCTAACTAAATGGTGATTGGATTCATCTACTTCAAAAATCGAATGCATGAGTCAATTGGAAACTGCTCTCACGCCTTTTCTGAAGAGTGTGAGCACAAACATGGAAAAACAGAAAACACAAAATTGTCCTTCTCCTTTTCCTCCTGCTTCTTCTTCTTCTTCTTTTTGCCATCATCATTCTTGCTCTAGTCGTTTTCCTATTCCATTTTTTTCGTTTGTTTCCGATTCATTTTCCATTGTTTCTATCTGCAATGTTCTTCTGAGACAGGAGAGCTCATTTAAGGTGTATGCTTTCTTTCTAACATAGGTTGAGGGAAGCCGAGAAAAACTGAGAATAGACAAATAGTGGAACCGCGTAGCAAGAAGGTGTAATGCTCCATCAAAATATTTGAATTATGACTCCTTTTTTTCTAGTGCCTTCTTTTTCCTAGTTCGTTCCACTCCCTCTTCCCCCACAACGTTGAACTTCAAGCACTAAACAGATTTGTGATGTTTTTCCGGTTCGACAACTTTCAAATAGTGCCTCCTCTCGCTGCTCTTCTCAAGATCACTTTCTATAACGCACGTTTCTTTTTGACGCATAAGACAAAAAATATCTAGATTAAAGGTGCGGGGAGTGTTACCCGGGGCAACCTTCTAGTTTTCTTCGTCCACTTATCTTTAAGGAGAAAGAGCATAAGAGAAATATCCTTTTTCTCGTTTTTTCTTACTTCTTCGTTTTTGCCCACTCGGCAACCTCTCCCCTCACTTCTGGAGAACCTACTAGGTGTCCGTTTTCATTCTTTTCGCTTCTCCCTTATACCTTTTCTCAGTGAAAGCCTTTTGAAAATATATTTCATAATCCTTAGGTAATCATAATCGCTGTAAGTAGAAGCCGATCAAAAGGACGCCGCGAAAAGTGGCTGGTATGAAATAGATGTTGTGAAAGATTTGTGGTTGATACTGAAATATAAATGTTAAAAACCCTGAATATTACAGGAATTAGGTATTAAAAGATTGATTAAATTTCAGCTTCCCGAAGAGCATGTCATTCCGGCAGGTGGTGAAGTACAGAGGACGTCGACGACTCCGTGTGGGTCTGTAGATGAAAGCGAGCAGAAAGACAAGGTGTCGATTGGGTCAAATGATTCGGGAAAAGTTCGTGTGCATTTATTTCAGTTTTTCATTATTCGTTTTCCAGACAGAACAGAGCAAAATCGGAGCACTCCTTGACAAAGCCAAAAAGAAGACACATAAACTGGTATCCAGCAGAAAGAAACATAATTCAGAATGCGGAACAGCCGAAGCGTCACCAGTACCCTCTATGAGATCGTTGGATACGATAAGCAAATCAGAAGAACGAATATCATCCAGAAGATCATCTGGAGGATCTGCCGACCAACTGAAACGTTCATCGATGCCTGGAAATTCCAACTTGGATGATGAGAGTAACGAGATTCTGGAAGAGATGATAGCTAGAAAAAGTCCGAATCAGACATTGATAGACCCAGCAGATCCATCGGACCCATTCCTAGTACAATCGCTCATTCATAAATGCCGAGTCCTTCCTTTCTTCCGTGCTCGTCTCGTAATTTTCGGTACCCTCATCGCCCTGACTATTGCATCCCCCGGCTTCATCACTGGCATACTATGGGGTTTCTACTCAACTGTCATCGGATTCCTCTACTTTTTTGTCAGCGAGCCGAAGCCAAAAGAAGAACAGGTTGAACATATTTTTTCAGTTTCTGTATTGATCAGTTTTTGTTTCAGAAAGATGAATGGTTCGTCGGAGAAGAGGAGGAAGTTGAACGAGCTGTTGTGAGTCCACTTGGTGTTGACAACATCGACGATCAAGGGTTCGGATTAGGAGAAGGTGTCATTTATCGTGGATGGATGAATGAATTGAGAACCCGATATTCTCCTGCCAACTATCACGTCAACTCGGCTCAATCCGTTTTAGTTCGACTCGAAGGATCAATGCTTCGAATCTGTCGACCAGCGAAAGCAGTTTTAAAACATGCATTTTACGACGATCCAACATTGAAGCAGAATCAGCCATCAATGGTCTCGCAAGTCATTTATGATATGAAGGACGCTCAAGTTTCTCTCCGCCCGAAACGTTTGGCTCGTCGCAGATGGTGGAGTCGAAAATATCCAATTCACATTCGGTTTGCACACTCATCAAGCTCGCTCATCGAAACTGATCACTCTACAAAGGCCAAGTCTCGTGGAATGTCACGATCCGCATCAATGGCTCCTCATCCAAATATATCGGAGAGTGGTGCTAACTTGCGAAAGAAGAGTATTTCTGATGATGAGACGGATGGCTACACAGCTGAGAGTGAAACCGAAGGAGAGGAAGAGCAGAGGAAAGTGGTCCGTTGTAATTCAGCATCCGATATTCACGAATTCAAAGAAAGTAGAACTCATAAAAAGCGAGGAAGGAGCATCTACCTGTTCGTAAGAGCAGCCAGAGAGAAAGAGCGATGGTTCCATTTGTGAGTAGTTATTGTAAAACATGAAATTTATTTTCAATTGTTTCAGGCTCCGAGAGGCGTGTGCTCGTGCTAGAAACTCCCCACAAGTTCGTCGTTGTATGTCTGTCATCGTGAAAACATGTTCATCTGCGTCTCTTCCTGAAGAGATTTTCAATGGCGAAGACGGTGCAACGAATACAAGTGTCGCTGTTGATGCTCTCACAGCTGAGGTTTGTAGCAAGATTAGCATATCTAAAAATTGTTTTTTGTTTTCAGAAAGAAGATTTTAACGATGCCTTGTTCAACTCTCCAAAACGAACACGTCTTCCCAAGGAGTACGAATATCTGAAATACCGAAGCAACTATGCATCTTTTGTCAAACAAATCGCCACGATTCTCTCTGTACAAGTTCCGCCTCGACCCGAGCGAAATAGTACTGTATCTGTTGATTTGGGAACGATGAAATGGGCACCAGGAGCGCAACAAATTTCAACAGAGCTCGTTGACAGCATTAACGTTCTTGCCACCAGAATATTCTTTGACTTCTGTCGTGATGATTTTTGGATTCGTCAAGTGAAACAGAAAATTCAAAGCAAACTGGCCACGATTCATCTTCCTTATTTCATTGAGAAACTGGAATTAGGTGAATTGAAATTTGGAACCGTGGCACCGAAATTCACAGCAGTGTATACTCCGAAAGTTGACGAATGGGGAACCTGGGTGGATTTTGAGGTACGTTGCTCACTTAGTCATCAATTTTAAATTTTGGAGCTTCAGATGAAATACAAGGGCGGAATCCGTTTGGTCCTCCAGACAAGCGTAAATTTGATCAAACTCCAAAGTGGTTCTCAACAAGTGGATACGGAGAAACGAGTGAATAGGTGGACAGAATCGATTCGAGTTACCCGCTACTCGGATTCCGATCTACCTGAAAGTCCCGAGAGCAGCCCAGATGAAGATTTTGGAGCCAAGAATAATTCAGAAGGAAACACCAAAGAAAAAACAGGAAAGAAAATTCTGTCGATTGTTGAACGAGCAGCACAAAGCTCATTTTTCCGAAAAGCAGCGAAACTTCAAGCTGTGGCAAGAGTAAGTGATTTTGAGAGGATTTGAAAATATTGAGATCAATTTTCAGTTAATCGAAGATGTCTCCACTACACCTCTGATTCTGAATGTTGAAGTCGAAGAAGTCGAAGGACCAATGACTTGTAACATTCCACCACCTCCGAGTGATCGTTTATGGTAAAATAATATTTTTAATTGCTCAAAATGTATATCTTATTCTAGGTATGCGTTCCGTAAGCGCCCAGTTTTCAAACTTCGTGCGGTTCCTCAAGTTGGTGATCGTTCAGTGGATCTATCAACTGTTAGTGAATGGATTGAAACGAAGCTTCGTCAAGTTCTTGAGAAGAATCTCGTGTGTCCAAACATGGACGATATCATTCTACCTGTGCTATCCGGGAACCCTCTCCTTCATATGGGATACAATAGATGAGGAGATCCGAGTTTCCCACTTGTTTGTATATTTCTCTTGTGTGATTTGTACCTATTCAATTATCCATTTTTCATTCTCCACCCACCCACACCATGTTCATAATACATTCTTTCCAATCTTCTCCTATCGGTGAATATTATTGTTGATAGCCCCCTGATGTGCTCCGAGTTCCATTCCATTTTTTTTTGAATATTTTTCTAGAATTTCTATTGGACCCCCATGCATTGCTTTAAATTTCACTTTGAATGTTCTCTCTGTCTTATGATTATTGCCTCCTATTTCTATAAGTAGCTATTTTTTGAGATTTAAAACATTCGCTGAACACAAATTATCCTCTTTTTCAAAGGTTGTTTGTTTTATTCAATTTCCGAATGAATTCGTTGGTTTTTCGATATCGAGATCAATAGAATATACCAGACAAACATAAAAGCAGAATTGTGAAACTGGAAAATTGCAGTGATCCGGAATTACAGTAATCCGTCGTACAACAACATGTTTTGAATCCATCTTCCTCTTTGGAGCATGTTGGTTGCTGAAAAAGGAGTTTTTTGAAATAACTCTGGTCTGATTTTTGCAGCCGAATATTCGAGGGTGGGCGGAGCTTCGGTCCAACAGCGAGAACAGCTACAGTTTTTTTCTCTTAATGTATGCACCTTTAATACCGTACCTCACAATTCATTCATTTTTGCCTTTTTTCTTTAATTCGCTCGTTTTTGTAGGTGTTTTTTTTTCAATTTTTATTAATCTTTAATTTATTACACTTATAAAGTTGCGAAACAGCCAAATATGGTATTACTTGCGAGGTACGGTAGTAAAGGCGCATGCATTAATTTGAAAACAACCGTAGCTGTTCTCGCTGCTGTACAGAACTCTCGAAGTTTGGAATCAACGCGCAATTTAAAATTAAACCAGATTAATAATTGTTTAAATCAAAATGCTCACCGAGCAAATCTGCATAGCTCCACAACCGTAAGAGTATTGATAGTGTTTGGACTTTTTGTCAATTTTTGCCTGTCTGAAATTTGGAATTTTCAGAAATGAAACTGGAAGAAGTCTCACTTAAAGCAGAAAAAGTCAAATGGACATTGAGTTTTAACAATATTCGAAACATGAACAGTTCCAGCAATTTCGTCGATTCCTGAACATTCAAAATATTCAGAAGGAACCAGAAACCAAGGATCGTCTGATGCTCGAATAACCAACCGTGATAACAATCGATAGCTGATGCACAAGTTGCGACTAAGAGAACAAAAAACAAAATAATATAGTTTTGATTAGTCATTCTTTGAAAAAGTAGATGGAAAATGTCATAGAGAGGAAATCGTAGTTTGTCATCTCTTATCAATGACGTTTTTTCTCTGTTTGAGTTGTCTGGATAGTGCTGAAACTGATTGTCCTTTTTTGAAAATTTCGAAATTCTGGTCCCACAGGATGACGCATAGTTACCCTAACTGAAGATTTGAGTGACCCGTTTATCATAAATTTAAAAAAAACTTAAGAACGAGTGATTTTCAGAATATCCTCCAAGAGAGTTTTCTTCCCGACCCAAAATTCTGGATCGATTGATATAAAAACTAGCATAAAATTTGAGTAAAGCGTACGGGGCTCAAATTTGGAATGCGAAAATTCAAATCATTTATCAATAACCTAGCCAAGTTTCGAAATATTTGATCAACTTTGAGCTGAGTTATCGCTTACCAAAGTTGCGGCATTTCATGAAAATCACAACAAGAAACATTTCGTCTTTGGACAATCATGCAAAGACCCAGACTTGAGGAATCACTTTGAAAATTTCAGTAGCTTGGAATCGAACGTAAAAGCACATTTCTACCAATTTTCGTGTTGTCAGGATACTTATGTCTAAAGATTTATTCATTTTATCAGTCCGAGTTATTGAGCAATAACAAAGTTAAAATGTTCAAATCATACACTTTATTTCATGAAATGAACTATTACAAAACAGGAAGATCAAGAAATAAATTACAAGTACATGTAAACCACCGATACTATAGTGACGACCATCGAAGAGACTGCAGTCTTCGAAAGATTGAATCCAGAGTTGCAGTAGTTTCCACGGCAACAACACGATCCTAACCCATGGCTATCCTCACTGCATCCACTTCTCTGAAATGACAAGTGAATATCCCTAGAAGATGAGCAAAATAAAACTTACAGAGCATATTCCATTTGCACATCCATAACTATTAGTTTGGTAGTTATTGTAGTTGTAGTTCTTCTGATAGTTTCTGCAAATCGTTGGAATGAGAAGATGAATAATAATATAATCGCTTACTTCAGACAGTAAGATCCAGGGCATTGTACTGGAGTGACCTGTTGGATGATTTGGTTGCCAGTTTGTTGAGATGTACCTGAAATAAAACATGTCTTCATTATTTAGCTGAAAATTATGCTTACCATAATAACACCAAACCTGAGCAGATACTACAGTAACCAAAATAGAATAAATAACAATTGAAGCAACCTTGCTCGACATCATTTTGGATTCTCTCTTGATGTCAAACTGAACTGTCTTTTCTACTTTTTTCTTTTATCAGTCGATCGTTAAAACATTTCCACTGTCATATGAATCATGCAAAGTTTTGTTATCACAGGTACTTGTGGTTTCTCTATTTCTCTACTGCTCCATTAACCAGAAACTATTTTTGAGGTTTTCTCTGATTGAATTTTTGACCTTAAGATGAATCATATTATTATTCGGGTACAAATAAATCGGAGCTTTGGAAGGGAAACGCCGGTGGCTGCGCACTACGACGAAGGTCCCACAACGAAATCTACGATAGTATAGAATTAAGTCCATTTTCCGGATTTATTTTATAGTTGTTCACTGCTTTTCTTATTTTTCCCCAAAAAAGTCTGAAAATAAACATTTTTGACAGTGAACAAATTGAATGAAAACGCAGGAAAATGAAGATAATAAGTTTGGAAAGTTAAAAAAAGTTTACAGTAGTTGTCATTGTGGGACCTTCGATCACGGACACCGGCGTTTCTCTTCCACAGCTTCTAGTTTTGTGTCAGAACAATATGCACAAGTTTCTCAAAAACCCAGTGAATGGGATTCTTATCTGATATTGTTTGACGTTGAACATTGATAAACTATGAAAAGGAATCCGCTCAAACATTTACGGCTTTATTTTATCCCATATAGAATCTTCATATTATGTACAAAGTAAAACATTACAAAAATAATCAAAAAACAAATCTACTCAATTCAAAGGCACATGTATACCATAGTAAGTATCATCGAAGATAGTGTAGTTTTGAAAACATCAACTCCGGAGTTACAGTAGTCTCCATGGCAACAACATGAACCGAATCCATTGCTGTTCTCAGTACATCCATCACTCTGAAAAAATTAAGAATTAATTGAAGAGTTAGAAATTGGGTCATACGGTGCATGCTCCGTTTGCACATCCATAACTGTTCTGCTGGTAGTTGTTGTGTTTTTGATAAATTCTAAATATTATAATGAGTTCTAAATAAATATAGCTCGAATCAGTTACCTCATACAGAATGATCCAGGACACATAATTGGTTTATCCGGTCCGTTTTCCCTGGAGTAAACTATTGTTCCATTATTATGTTGTATGGATTTACCTGGAATGGGAAAATTATTTTTGATAATGTGCTGATACTTACCATACTGACACATAAGCTGAGCAGATGTTACAGTAACGAACGCAGCGAAAATAAAGAGAGAAAGACCCTTGCTCGCTATCATTTGTAATTTTGTTTGTAACCGACCGATTTTTTCAATTCGTTCTGCTATCAGCTCATTGTTTGATTATATATGTTTATTGTCATAAGACAAAACATGTTGTTTATTATGAGTTCTTCATTAGAGTGATAATTATTTGTGATCATTTCACAAAACAAAAAGGAGAACAAAGGAGAACAAAAAAAATTCTGATTGGATATAAACTTTTCCAACAATCTATAACCTTCTCCGAAGTTCTCACCGATCGTTTGAATTCCCCGAAAAAAATATGATGAGTGTGTGAGAAATCCATCTGATCCTTTCTTCTAAAATAAGCTCCAAATCTCAGAGAGTTCGTCTCCTGGGATTCTTTTTTTAGAATTTTTTCGTCGCGGATGTGCAAAAAGAAGAATTTTGGGAAGATGTTGAATAGTGCTTTTTTCAGTTGTATGTGAAATTTATGTGTGGGAGAAAACGAGGATATTATTGGATTTTAGTGACGAAAAGTGACAATTTTCGAAAGTTTAAGCACTTCGATAAATGTGTGGTGGCCCTCCGGAGAGTTGGATTTTTTGTTTGATCGACGACTGAAGGAAATTTCGAGAGATTTCAAAATAGTTTTAACAGAACTTTTACGTCTGACTATCTTCTTGTTATCAGTAAAGAGTGACTCTAAAAGGACGAAATTATGGGGAAAAACTCATCATGTTGAATACATCAATCTCAGAATTTCAGACAACGATGAGGAAAATTGAATAGGAAACAGAGCAGACCAGGTCGAGAATGGAGAGAAAAAGATTTTATATGAAGAATTTTCTTTCGGATAACGATAACGATAGCGACGATAAAAGCTGTAATAGAAGCGCTCCTTAACTTCGAGCCATTTTATCTTGGCTACTGTGAATGATATCAAAAAGCTGTCAACTGATAAATTGTTTGTCATAATATCACAAAGGTGTTATCAGTTGACACATTTTTGATATCTTGCCTAGGAGCCAAGAAAATTGGCCTGAAACTTGACAATGCCGGGGCTCTCCTAATACAGCTTTTATGGTAATTGACTTCGTGTGAATTGAAAGAAATCCACAAAACCAGAAACATCTATTTTTCAACCCTCGCAGAACTGCTTCAAAACTCAAATTTCCGTTCTCCGTTATTAGTATCGTTTGCTCCTTTCGCTCAGTCCCATTTTACTCAAAAACACAGACAAATGAGTTTTTCTTGTTTGAAAGTCAGTCGAAAACTTTCTATTTTTTTTCGGTCGGTCTCATTCTCCCCAAACTCATAAATCTTCGTTTCTTTAGGAATGATAGAGTGGTTGTCTACAAAGCGGAAAAAGGAAAAAAGGAAAAATTTTGGAGCAAAGTTATTTCTATTTTTGAGATCGAAGGCTACTGTAGCTGCAGTGTAGGAGAAGTAAATGGAACTTCTAAAAAAATTACAATTAAAGATGTTACCGTATTAACAGAATCCCTCCCCACATGCAATTTGAACTCAATTACCTTGGTTACATTTGAAGGTATCAAAAAACTTTCAACAGATAAATTATTTATCGAAATATCTCCAATGTTTTATCAGTTGACAGATTTTTGATATCTCTCATAGGAAGCGAGATAATAGAGCTCCAAGTGGTGGGCTTTCAGGCATGGCACTACTTCAAATTTTCTAAACCTCTATCCATTTTTTTCCTCTAAACTCTTCCCATCTATGATTCTTGGAATTCCATATCTTGCGTCCATCATATTCCCAAAAAAAACTTGAAAACCGCCGGAGGGTGTCATATTTTTGGTGAGGCGCATATAACGCAACACGTCTTGGCTAAAATCAGCAATCTTCCTCCATTTTTTCCTTTCCCCCGCGTCTCCAGAGACATAAATGTTTTGGGAACCAGAAGTGAACAACGGAAATTTCAATATTTCGTTGCCTTTACAGATGAATTTCTGGATCCTTTTATATCTCCCAGGTGTTCCCCGTTGCTCTGTTTTAAATTCCTTTTGTTTTGTTTTCAATTTTGGTCGAAAAAGGAACAAAAAAGTAGTCGTTAAAAGTGGTTGGAAACGAGAAAAGAGGAGAAAACGGACCTATTTGCATAAAAAGAGCGTCCCCCAGGCTGTCTCTCGAAACTTGTTGAGAGCACCAAAAATTTATGGGTGGGAGTGACATTTTTGACGGAAGCACCGAAAAGTAGGAATCGAAAATTTAGATGGTGTGGAAAAAGATGGACTCTTGTTACGTATTCCCGAAATGTTTAGCTTTTTCCGAACATCGGATTAAGTATATTGGTATATATGCACGCATATTGAACCAAAATAAGCATCAAGTAATTTTCTATTTAAATAGTTGACCACAAAAAGTCTTATTTTGCTTCGAAATCATTGAGATTCTTAATTTTAAAATATGTGACAGGTTCTGAAAGTATTCTGTTTGAAAAAATGCATTCCCCATTCCCGCGAATTCTACTGCTTTCATGTTTTACATTCTATTTATTCCACCGTAAAACCTGTATAAGTCCGGTCCTTCTATTTTTTCAACCTGCCTCCGAAGGGCCTTTCTATTAAAGGGGCCCTTCTATTTTCCGACCATTTTTTTTCCGAAATTTTAAAAATAAAAATTAGGCGAATTTTCTTTCAGAATGCATAAAAATCGATCAATTTCACCAAAATTATTCTAGTTTTTGAGCAAAAAACTTTGTTTCCACAAATGTCTATGAAATTTCAGAGTTTCCGGAATATTTTCCGCTGAAAACGCACGGTAAATTTCAATCTCAAGCAACCAATTTTGAAGAAAGCCCTTCTTTCACAGGAGGCCTTCTATTTTTCCATGCCCTTCTTTGGAGGGCCCTTCTGTTAGAATGGGGTACCTGAGGTAGACCGATTGTACGCTGTCCGAACAAAGACATTCCGTGCATCTCTGCATGGAACCTCTCCGAAAGATTGTCAGAGTCATTTTCTTTCTAATTGATTTGTGAAAACTGCTCATTGAAAATGACTATTCGATTTTTAACTTTAGGGCATTCCAGGTTTATTCTTTTTACTTCCTATCGATGACTGTGTCTGAAAATGTTCTGAAACCTATTGTGTTCACTGGCTTTTGAGGATCCCATTCCTCACTTCGTTAGCTTTTAATCTACCGTATCATCCCATTCATCTCTTCTCTCTTGTCTCTCGATCTTCCTACTTCTTTGTTCTTTTTTATTCTCAAATTTTATCCAATTAAGTCGTTCGAGGGACCATCCTCTTAGCCATTTACTGCTTCTTCTCCAGCTTCCTTCTCTCTTCATTTTCTTCTTCTTCTCCATCGCCATTTTCTTTGTTCCCTATTTTATGCATAATTTTGTGTCGACAGCCCACACTACTCCATTGAAGAGCAAAAACAGACACGAGGACAATGGGACTTCTTTTCTGTCCCCATTCTTCCGACTCATTCTTTTTTTAAAGATCTTCTTCTTCTCTTCTTCAGAATAGACTCATCCATCTCTATTCTGCTCACACTTTTGTGTTAAAAAAGACAACGGACCGGGTAAACAATTTGTATGAGTAGGAGAAAGGAAGCCAAGCAGGGAAACGGAAGAAAAAAAACTAGAAAAAAAAGAAGTTTTGAGAAGGAAAATGAAACCAAGTGTTTTTCTAACTTTTTTCCTTTTTTCCCCGATTGGTGGGTACTACTCGGAGAATTTCGTTTTCTTCTTCTTCAGATGTACACTTTTGAAAATTATGGTTTAAAACTTCTGTTTGAGATTCAAAAATTCGGAATTTTTGGAATTTTTCGGTATTCAAATTTCAAGTAGAAATACCGCTTTCTCATCACAAAAACCCAAAAATTTCGCGAACGTTTTTTTTCGAAAACTTGAAAAAAATAATGAAACTAATTCGGCTCGAGACCAGCAAGAAAGTATTTGCATGCGCCTTCGACATACAGTAGTCCAAAAATCTATGATTCCGAAAAATTAAAAATTCTTCCAAAGGGAATTTGATTCCGAAAAGAAGCTTTGGAATCAAACCGATTGGAGTTTCATTCCTAGAATGGCAGAATGTTCAGTATTCTATATTTCAAATCTTCGTCTGTGTCTCGGTTCCTGTGAAAGGTGTCGAAAAAATGTTAACTGATAAATTGTTTATCATAATATCAGAAACGTTTTGTCATTTAACCACTGTTTGATATCTTGCATTGGAATCGAGATAATTCAGCTCAAAATTGACAGTGTTTAGGCTCTTCTATAACAGGGTTTAAGATAGTTTCGACTTGTATTATTGTTGTATGAAAAAAAAGAAGGTTAGAGAGTATTTTTTGCAGTCTGAATACGGTAGGAACCTCGAAGCGGCGAGCCTAAATAGCACATGCTAGGTGGAGACGCAGACATTTTTTCTCTGCTTCTCAACTTTTTTTTTTCTCAGACAACGATAATAGAACACCGTAAAACCTGTAATTGAAGGGCACCCAAACTGTTGATTACCTCGGTTCCTATGCAAGATATCAGAAATATGTCAACGAATAGTCTTGATATTATGATAAACATTTTGTCAGTTGACACAATTCTGATATCTTTCATAGAAATTGAGATAATTAAGCTCAAACTTGACAATTTGAAAGCCCTTCTATTACAGGTTTTACTAGGTAGTATCGATTTGTAGAACATGTTTTGCAACAATAAAAAACTATTGTTTCAAAGTTCAAACATCATTTTCACAATGGAATTTCGAACAAACTAGTCATGTTCGCATAAACTATGGGACCAGCTTCATTTTTAGATGATCCAATGTTTGCTTCAGATCAGTGACTTTTGATATTCTCATTCTAGGAGATCTTTTGTCTCCAATCTGTATGAAAAAACTTATGCCAATTTTTGAGCTGTTGAGATGTTTCTACAGTACCCTCTCCCCTCTGTTTTTCATACGTATGAAAGAAAGAGGTAAGAAAGAGACATATATTCCATTTTCTAAACCCAGAAACCGATAAAGTTCATTGTACTGGTGGTTCAGTTTGTAATCCAAGATTTCTCTGCAAATTTTTTCTTCTTTTCCACCAGTTTCTTGGTTTTCTCTCTCTCCCAAAAAGTCCATTCGTTTTCTTCGTTGTGTTGTGCCTTCCCTCGTAATCTCATTTCCGACGCCTTCTATTCACCCTCTCCTTTTTCTTCCAAAACCAAAACAATGCTCGTCGTTCCATCTTCTTATTGTCATCGTTATAGTTTTTCCGTTCATATTTTTGTGATTTTTTCAGCAAATTTCTAGAGCTACAGTATGCTACCAGGAAGATTTTGTGAATTCTGAAAATCCGACTTTTCGGAAAAATAGGAAAACAAAAGATTAGGCAAAAAAAAGAAAAAAGGAAACGAAAAGAAGATAGATAACTCAAAGAATTTGTTTAAGCTGGGTTAAGTACTTCTTGCTTTTTTGGAGGAGGAGGAGTCAGAAAAGACAGAAAAAGTAAGATTTCGTTTCCTTCTTGAAGTTTCTCAGAAATTTGCTCTGGAAATCAGTTGTGAATTTTTAAAACTTCATCTGCAATTTTTGGCTCTTTATGACAAGGGAGGCCCATGAGAAAAGGGGGGGGGGGGTCCATGGGAAAATGGGTAAAAATTATGGGTAAAAATTATGTCTAAGTGAAGATTTTTCGATGTTTTCAAGTTTTGCCACTGTTTTTATGAAAATTTCGTACTTTCCGCTTGTTTCCATAAAAATTCGTAACTTCAAAAAAAGTTCAGTTTAGGTCGTTTTTTCCATGAACAACATTGTTTTTGCTGTTGTAACTGTGTAATTTCAATTTATTAAGCTAATATTTGAATAATTTAGGCTTAGGAACAAAAAAAAATATACAAAAATGTAAAAAAAATGACATATACTGAAAATTTCAAAAAATGATGAAACATGTTCAAAGCAAGAAAATTTGGTGGAAACAACCCCAAAACGGGGAAAAAAGGGTAAATCTTAACTTAAGCATAATTTTTCCATTTGGCCCCCCCCCCTCTTTTCTCATGGGCCCCCCTTGTCATAAAGAGCCCAATTTTTTGGTTCTTTAATTTTCATGTTGAAATTTCGACTGGGTTACTGTAGACTTTAGGCTTTTTTCCAATTTTGCTCCAAAAAATGACGAAATCTGGGGACATGGATAAAAGGAACCATAACAAAACAAACGAAAGAAAAAATAATAAAGAAGCATATTCTGAAAAATTATAGGCTTCTGGGTTTGGTTTCTCAATAAACATCTAGACCTGAAAAACACTTCTCCTCGGATTTCCTTTTTTCCAATTTCCTGAATCCTTCTGATGAAAAAATCAAACATCGCTCTCTGATTGTAATTGTAAGATTATTTTTTAATTGCGTGTGTGAAAAGTTTCATTCGAAATGCTACTAATCAATCAAATGGGAGAGCAACTGGCCCATTACAATTTCTCAATGAGAGCAGATGAGGGGCAGATTTTAATTGGAAAAGAACATTTTATTTAAAAATCTATTAGGTGCCAGAAAATTACGAGTTTTGGTTTATCCTATAACAACGAAATTTATTATTCAGCCATTTGAGTGCATAGTAAAGTTTGAAAAACCTTTCGGCTAGAATAACTCCTATTTACTAACTCTGCAGAATTTTTACTTGTACAGGAGCCATTTCCACAGCTCTAAGAAAAACTGAAACATGCAGGCGCGGGTGATCAGAAAGAGTCGAATTCAGAAATTCGAACATTCATATACAGTAACAGTCAATAAGACAAACGTATTTTCAGTTGATTTTCGGTTATTTCTACCATTTTCAGGAGTTTGGAGCTCTGCTATCAAGTTTCCGATCACTTTGAAATTTTTGAATGGGGTAAAATAGAAACTAGATCGGAAAATTTGAATTCCCTAAGTTTTTTGAAAATTCCTAGTTTTCCAGCTATTCGCCGATTTCTGAAAGGTCCCCTTTTTCGGTCAGGTTTTCACAGAAAACGTGAAGAATCTGGGGTACTAAGTTCGTTTGCTGTTTACACCCACTTCTTGAAACTTTTCATTCCAAAAAAGTTATGTATGGAAAGAATAGTATTGTAACATCCTTATTATCTAACTTTAAACACATTTCGTTTCGGTTCAGCTCGAAAATTATGACTTTTGATACAAATGACATGAATGGATAGAGCATTCAATTTAAAGTAATGTGTCAAAAAATGAACATTTTTTGAATAGTTGAGAAATTCTAGTTCAAAGTCGTTTTCCTCTAAAAAACAGGAAAGCTATTTACAAATGAGAAAAAGATTTTCAGTACATTTTCACGCTTCCATTTACCTTTTGGTAAATGATTCAGTTGATTTTTTGAGGGAATTTTCAAATAACTCTGTAAAAGCAAAGTTTTCAACCTAGATCTGTTTTACATCCTCCGCAATTTTCAGAGTGATCGGACACTTGTCCAGCTCCAGACTCCTGAAATTGTTCAAAATGACCGAAAATCAACTGAAAAATACGTTTTTGTATATCTCATAAACAGGTACTGCAGATCAAAATTTCCAGGTACTCTGCTCCTGAACTTTCAAAACTCCTGTTTTTCTCTTTTCGCTTTAATATCAAACCGCCCTATGCAAACATTTTGCAAGCAATAGTTTCGCTACTCACAAATAGAAATATTACGAATAGCATCCATCCATTTTTCATATTTCTCCGGATTCATTTTATGAATAGCCCATTTCCCCCATCTCCCAGCATTCCCACGAGCTCTATCAATTTCTTCATCGCCTTCTAGTCTTTTTTCACCCAATTTTTCATTCAATTTCCCTTCGTTTACCCTCCCCGCCCCATCCATTTTGCCAGATTAAAATCTATGCTCTTTTTCTCACTCGATTTTCCCTGGGTTGTGCATTCCTTAGCAGATCTTCTTCTGCTCCTTCGTTTTTTGCCGATTTCTCTGTTAGCATTTTAATTGAAAACAGATGCGCTTTGTTTTTTTGTTGAAAAGAAAATAGAAACATTTAAATTTAGTTGAACAATTTTTCAGTTGAAAGTTATGGTCTGAAAATCGTATTTTAAAACAAAAATGGTTGGTGCATCACTTCTCCAGTCTGACGATGATTCAGATGTCCCAGATCTGGATCTTCGTGGAGCAGTATCTAGTTCTTCCAGACGAAGGAACTTTTTCAATAAGTGAGAGATTCCAATTATTTCCTTTTTTCATATTTCTGTTCCAGATCATCCGCCGATTATGAAGAAATCCGTCATCGACAGAAAACCTACAAAACCATTTTTCTCATTAGCTTCTTTTTTGTTTTCATCGTTGCTCTCTACTTTCTATACACTGCCATGTGCCGTGTGAAGATCCTTTCTGAGGAAATTCAAGGTTTGAGAAAATCATAATTATAGGGATGGTAGCCGTAACATTTTTCATTTCAGATCTGCGGCAGAAAATGGGTCATGTGGAGGCGTTTCAATTGGAATTGAAAACAATTCGAATGCAATTTGAAGTAATTCAAGAGAATGAAATGGAAAGGAACGAAACGAATCGGACTATGAAAACTGGAAGTACAACTGGAATGATTTATGATAAGCTGGCAAATATCTCAAGTCGATTTGATCTTTTATGGGATGGACATCAGAAGGCGAATTTTTAAAAATTTTCTGAATTAATATTTTAGGAACTTCAGTGAAGTCTAGTTCAAAGTTCATGGAATTTCTGTGAATTTTTAGAATTTCCGAAATCTTTTTTACTGAAAACTAACGGAACTTTTCAATTTCAGAACAATTTTTAAAGGGGGTCTTGTAATACAGGTTTTAGGGTATTTTAATTTCCAAGTTTTCGAATTCCACAAAATGCCGAATTCATGATTACCGATTTTATGAAATTCCGAAACTTGGAAAATTTTAATTCCCGAATTTCTGAAGTTTCGAATTTGCCTGAATTCAGAAATTTCTGCATTTCTAGTGTTTCGAATTTCCTAAATTATTCTAACTTTCGAATCTCATTCTCCTCAACTTCCTGATTGTGCGAGTTTCCCGAAATTCTGAATTTCAAGATGACTAAATTTTTGAGTTCTGAAATCAGAAATTTTCCAAATTTCTAATTTCCAAATTTCCTAAATTGAATTTTAATGAATTATTGAATTTCAGAACTCGATGAGCATGGATGATGTGACATCTCGAATGTCCCGTGTTGAGAATAAATGTCTGGCTGTGTGCCAACAACACGAAGGCGGAGCTGCTTTGCCACGTGGCAGAGAGCAACCAAGAAGACGTCAGGCAGCTGGGAAAACCAAACCGGCGGGCGGTGCGGATGAAATTGTTTTCCGGAGAAATGACTGATAAACGTTATCAATAGCCTTTCTAACGGGTTTTCTCACTTTTTCCGATTTCACTGAAGTTCAGTTTCCTCTCCAAATCCCGAACTTTCCTCGTTTTTATTTATTTATGTACACAACGAATTCGTTATTAAAAACAATGTGAAAAGTAATTAATTTGATTTAATCTACATTTTTGATGAATTTGAAAATAAAATTTTGGTAATTTATATCTCAATGTACTTGATATTTTCCTTTTGTTCGTTTTGAAATCGAACCCGATGATAGAGAGTCAAGGATCGAATCCAAGCTTGTTCATTTCCCCATTTGATCTTATAGGCTCCAGCACCTGGCATTCGAAGACGAAGGTAGTCGACAGTGGGCATTCCTGAACAGATTTAATGTACTGTTGATGTTACAGTAACCCTATTCTCACCTGGATAATCAAAATCTGGTGCCAGTTCATTCATCTCTTCTAACTCTGAAGTCTCGTCATCTCCATGCCAAATTCCCATTCCAAAAGTTCGATCGCAGAATCTAAATTTAGCGGTCAAAAGTCATTTAGAAAAAAAGATTCAACCTGTTGATTACAATATAAACCGGTTCTGTGACACTTTTGTCGACTATATACGTGAAAACGGCCGATTTGCCAGCACCAATGTTGGTGCAAATAAGGTCCTTGATGGCTGGAGTCTCGTCGTTCGGAATCCAATAAAGCTCTTGTGGGATCGAATCAAATGGAATATTCAGAATATCCCGGCACATTCCATCTCCGTTCTTGTCGACCATGTTTCCTCCCCAATGCTTCGGAATGTTATCGATGTGGGCGTGCTGTAAATTGAGCAAATAAGGAAATAAGATTATCAGGAGTCTAAATACTTTTTGAACTGAAGTCTTCCAATCAGAGTTCATTGTACAGATTCTGACTTTGTTACGAGTTCTCTCTGGAAGAAGTGGGCCAATGGCTTTCCATAAAAGTGACATGAATGATGGTGCATTGATCAGGAATAGAGTATTGATCCATTCTGGATATGCTGTGTATACCGATGCCCATAAAATACGGTATGGTCCAGTGACAATGTTGATCAATGCTGGATCAAACTTGAGTCCCTCCAAATCAAGAATGTAGATTACTGAACACTGAGTTCCATGTTTTCTTTCCATTTCGTTCATTGCTGTCAACATTTTCTCTTGGAATTTGAACCTGGAAGTTTATCATTCTCGAAAGTTAATCCAAAGTGCAAGCGAACCTTTGGATCAAGAAATCAGACAAATGAACTGATTTCAAAATTCCCATCAAATCAATTCGCCCAGCACATTCAATTACTAAAAGTTGGTTGTCTTTTCCAGTTTCTCCTGTAAAAAAAGAAGACGTCACGAGGAATAAGAAACGTCATCACTGACCGACAAGTCCAAGTGGAAAGTACTTTTTAAGGATGGGATGGTCAGGTACATTTGTCAAAATGTTATCGAGGTCATAATACTGACGGAAACGAAGATGTCTTCGGAGTTCGGCAAGAGCCTCTTCTCTGTTGAATCCGTATCCTTGAGCCCATCGGAGAAGGTTGAAGTCCGTGTCGTAGTAATCCGTTAGAAGGTCTTTGCACTAGAAGAAAATTTGCCTTCTCGGGAAGAATAGTTGTTCAGGTGTTATGGAGTATTTTTGAAAGCAGGATACCACATATTATTACGGTACAAGTAATCTGAGTTGTGGAAGAGAAACGCGGGTGATATATAAGAAGATGATACAGGTAAATCCAACCTGATTTGGTTTTTTGCTGTTGACGGTTTTCGCATATTTTACTTTCAGTCCCTAACCAGAATTCTAGTAGTCAACTGACAAATTGTTTATCATAACTTCAAAAATATTTTGTCAGTTGACCACCTTTTGATATTTTTCACAGGAACAGGAAAATGATATTTTTCACAGGAAATTGGCTCAAAGTTGTAAGTTAGGGGCTCATCCTATCCGAGTGGTTACCTATCCGAGTGGTTAGGCTCATCCTATCCGAGTGGTTAGGTTTCAATTATTTCACTGTTAGCAACCAATTCTTGTTAAAAGGCTGAGTGATCAAATTCAAAGTGTATCTATCA